ACCAATTTGGGCATAATTAAGCCAATTTTATACCTTCTCTGGAGGTATCGAAGTGTATGGTCAGAGATGTCGGGAAGTCTTCGATAGAATCCTCTTTTTATATCAATGTATAATTTTATTGAGGTTTTAAACAAATTTCAATTAATTCATTTCTTGTTTTCGATTTTAGCACAGCTGTTGAGTTGGTTTCAGGAAGATGGTGTGATGACAGAGCAAATGGATATGAATAATGCAAGCAGCGCATCGCGAATATTCGCTCTTAATTGGCGCATAAATCCTAAAATAACGTTGCGGTATTTGGAGTAGTACGGAACAAGGATAAATTTGTAAGTGCGCGGCACGCGAAAATTGCTTCACAGGTATTAGAACCAAGATTAACGATCCTGCGCTGCACCCGCTGTATACGCGCGCCCACATAAATAACACTGGATGCCTGACCATCCTTTAAACTACAAATATATCTCTCCATCCTCCGCACCGACTCCTTTCCATGTTTGTAAAGACAACTTTGTTATCGATAAAATATTAATACAGATTCTCCCATCGATTCATGTCATTACTCCTCAAAAATCACCATTTTTACCAACTCTAAATATAGTTAACAAAGAACGAAACGAGAGTTGACCAAACAAGGGTACCATTTTAAGTCATAGGGTAAAAGAGGTCATTTACTCTTCAAGTCACCATAAAACACCTCTTCTCTCTCTGTATAGTATCAGATGGTCATCGAGCATCCGGGGCTCTGACTCGGTCCAGCGAGCGGTGGCGGCGGCGGTGGTGCTGGTGGTGCTGGCGGCAACTTCAGAGGTCCACCGCAGACCGAATCCGGAGGCGAACGGACAGTGGCGAGGCGAGGAACGAGGAGTGCAGGGGAACCGCACCGTGCACGTGTGCGTCGCCGTCGCCGTCGTCGTAGCGCGGAATGCGGCACGGCGCCAGCGAGTCTGAGTAACACCTGCACGACGATTCTGTGTGTGTACGTATTTATTTGTGTGTGTGTATGTGTACGTATAAACCGCGGCCGACGTCGTCGTCGTCGCCGCCGCGAAGGTGGGCCCCATTCGCGGCCCTCTCTCATTGTTAGTCACTTAAAGCGCGACCGCGTGTCGAATCACCACCAACAAGATTTCGCCCCCACACTTCTCATTTACCCTTTTTCTTTTTTTCTTAAATATCTTTAAAACTTATAAATCAATGATACATTTTCATCTCATTTATAATTTAATTTATTAAGTCCTCTGAAGATGGTTTAATAACGAAATCGGTAACAAAATTAAATGAATCATTTAATCACTCTTCTTTTAAATTAGTTTCACAACACTTGGACTGTTTCAGATACATTTTCTTAATTCTGAGTAATCTATATGCATCATTTTAAAATAAAGATTTGATAGAGATTTAATTTAGGAGACTTGTTCATACTAAACAGCAAACCTATGCATTTTAGAGCCATGGTTGAGTAAAAAGAATTAATTTTAGGCATAATAACAAACCATCATTCTTGTAAAAACAACCTTATAAAACTGTATTTGAAGAAGTTGGAAAATGGTTTGCGCTCTAAAGTTCTACAACCTTTTTGAAAGTAATTTCTAAAGATTTATCAAATTGTGATAAAGCAAATACGATATTTAGACGATATCTTTGACAAACTAACAGTGAAGCTGCTTGGTTGAGCCGAAATAAGACTGGGAGTTGAAAATGTATACCAAAGTTTACGCTGCATTAATATGGTGTTTAATATGATGACTGCAAAAGATACTTTTAAATAAGTTTATCAGATTGCGATCATCGAACATAAATCAATATTGCAACGATAAAGGCGCGTTCTCACGAGTCAAGTTTAGTTGATCGATTTTAGTTGATCAACAAAAGTTGAATAAAAACTGTAGTGAGAACCTTTCTTTCAATAGAGTTGATCAACTTTCTAGTTGATCAAGAAAAGTTTGATCCAGTCAAACTTTTGTCGTTCAAGTGAGGAGTCATCACGAATTGTTTTCAAGTTGAAACTTGTCTTGAAACGTGTGAACTAGGCAGTCGTCTTTTGTCGACTGCGTAGTACGCTTGCACTGGCCGCGTCACACGTGCTTGTGTTATTTTTGATATAAGATATTATTTAAAACTACCAATGATAAAATAGTTTAAAAGAATGAGTCTCAAGTGGTCTGAAAGTGTTATGATGAAATTTTTGGAACTATATCATAAGCATGATTGTCTTTGGAACCACCGAACGGGTAAATATAAAAATAAAGATGCACGACAAAATGCTTTGGGTTCTATTGTCAAGGAAATGGAAATTTCTGGTCTTACTATTGCTGATCTGAAGAACAAAATCAAGACTATTAGATCGATGTATAAAAAAGAACATTTATTGGTTTGCAAATCAATAAAAAGTGGAATGGGAACAGAGGAACTGTACCTGCCAAAATTACTACAAGGGTCACTTCATCAAATTTAGTAAGTATACTTTTCATTCTTTATTTTTTTTTACATTAACTATTAATTATTCATCGTCGGGTATCATATTCAGTTGCCAGGGCACAGCACCAAGTCCGGAAAAATATTCGGCATATTCATCACGCACATGAGACGCTAATGTTGTGTAGTTGCGACTTCCTAAATTAACTTGCAAATCAACTAAACCATTGGCTTCAGTACTTTGTGTTCTCCAAGAACCTAGTATAATTTACCTGGTGTTCAGATCCTCATTATTATAAGAGCCTGTTGGTGTATATTTTTCACCAGAACTCATTTTTAGTCAATTATGTATTGCTAAAGCTGCTTTAACAATTGCGTCCACATTGGTAATTCTAACCGCTATAGGTCGTTCAAAGACTCTGAATCTAGAAATCAAAATTCCAAATGCATTTTCAACAATGCGACGAATCTTGATAAGCGATAGTTGAATATTTTTTGTTTTCTAGATAGATTAGTACTTCTTCCAAATGGTTTTAAAATGTAGGTTCTTAAGGGGAAAACATTGTCAGCTACAAATACTCCACCTTTTGGAAAATTCAACTTATTCCTAATATCTTCTAATGCTGCATTGAAAGAAGATTTTGCAAAAACGGCAGCATCATTTGCTCGTCCATTTGTGCCTATATCGAAATAGCGAAAACAATAGTTTGCGTCAACGCACGCAAACAAAATTAAGCTATATGTGCCTTTGTAATTAAAATACTCTGATCCACTGTGAGGGGCATTTCGTATCACGATATGTTTTCCATCTAACGCACCACAACAGTTAGGAAAATTCCATCGAAAGTAGTATTCCCTTTGAATTGTCTTCCATTCGTCCTCATTTTGTGGCACCTGTAACAAAAAAAAAATATTTTTTCATGTTGCTGCATATTTAATACATGTTTTAATAATATGAAGTATATTAATATAGTTCTATTTCTCTTTTAGAATTTACAACCTGATGACGCTGAAAACGAAACCATCGAAAATGAAGCAGAAACCCAAGATGAAAATGTATTTCCTGCATCAACATCTGCATCTGTTACTGTTGAAAATGGTAATACACAGAAGGACGCGATGCATTCAGAAAAGACAGAAACTGCCAATCAGTCTACTAAAAAACAATCAAAGACAACAAATGTCTTTCGTGTTCCTCTGAGCCGTAAACGGAAAATATCTGGAAACGAAAATATTTCAACTATATGCGCAGCAATTGATAAACTTGATGAAGTAGTGCAAAGAAATAAAAGTAATGTTGATGATGAATTCGACATATTTGCGAAATATATCGCTGTCCAGCTAAAACGACTAAAACTGAAAGTGTAATAAGACAAAAGCGATTGCAGGCCTTGAGACAGTTCCAGTATAATGCAACTACATCATCTGGGTTTCCACCTTGTCAATATCAGAACACTCCATCACCAGCGTTTTCACCTTCTCAGTATCATTCATCTCCATCGCCATCGCTTTCAAACAACATGGACGGAGAATATTGGTCGTCGTCGGTTTCAAATCAATTGTGCGATAGACAACAATGCGGCGAGGATTTGCAGGAGTCATCTAATATAGTTACCGAAGCTTTAAAAAGTGTCTTAGACTAAATTTTGTACTTTAAAATTAAATACATTTTTATACTTACTTTAATAAAATCTTGCAAAGCATCGTATATTGCCGTACAAACTTCTCCCAAAAAATTTGAAATGGTATTTTTAGGTACTCGGTATACGGAAGCAAGCGTGGAAAATGAATCCCCCGTAGCTAAATATCTTAAAGTTACTTGCAGCTTTAATTTTGGTGGGATTGCTTGTCGCATCACTGTGTCTTGTTTTTTTATGCAATCATGAACTTTCGACAACAGTTCGTCAAATTTTTCTTCAGACATTCTTAAATAATTTCTATATTCGTCTTTGTCCTCTAATGCTAGCTCCTTCAGCAAGGTTTCCGATGCTCCCAAATTATCTCTCCTTAAAATCCACTGCCTCACCCAAAAACGACGTTTCTTACGACTTTTGTTCATATTACATAAAATTATTTTCAGTTCTTCTATTAACAAAACTGCAGTCATCTGTACACATTCACGCACAACTACATTCGATGCCATTTTAAAACTGAAACGATCGATCAGTTTCTATTGAAGTGTGTGAACAAAATTTTATTCAAGTCGTATTCAAGTTTTGTTGATAAACTTTAGTCGATCAACTAAACTTGAATCGTGAGAACGCGCCTTAAGCAAATGATGCAGAACCTGAAAGATCTGTGAAAAATCAATTACAAGATAGGTAGTTACTCAAGTTACGCATTGTGCAACTATACCAACAGCGGAAGCTTGACTGAAAGCTAAGAATTGACTCAAACATGTTCTTGAAGAACAGACACTTAGCAACATATCATTTGGTACCCAAGACACTAATGCTCCAAGGTAGTGCATACTTGAGTATATAAAAACTTGAATAGCTCAAATACTCAAAATAGTCTACACAGTGTATTATTCAAAACAAATTTAGTATTACTATTAATAATAATTGTAATAGTTTAATTTTCAACAATACATATGTAGGATTTGTCCTTGAAGGCTCTCAGGAGTGGGACGAGCCGACTTTCCTAGGCGGGAAGTCAGTAGTCGATAAGCAATCTAACGAAAAAGATCGGTAAGATCAACGACGGGCGAAAAATTAAAACGCGAAAGTAAAAACTGTTTTCTATTGTAGATTCGATCAAAACGGTGACCAGTATAGTGAAATCAAATAATACCCTTATTTTGTTAAACTATTAAATAAAACTTAAGTTACAATTCCGATGTTTTGGTGAATAAATAAAAACATAACCCCTAGATTTAGAATAAAAGTGAGCACGAACCCACACATATATACAAAAAACAAAAATACAAAAAAAGGCCAGAAAATGCCCGAGAACTTAAAGCTAAGATTCCGTATTATCCCTAAATTATCTTAAAGAATTAATATTTCAACCTAATGCTATCAAACAACATAACATAAATTTAATAACCTTCCGAGATGTTCCTGAAAGTTAAAATCACTGCATGTTGAAAAGGTAATTAAGCAGCAAACATTTAAACGCACGGCCACGCCTCACTTTAATATAATCTGGGATAGAGTTGTTTAGAGAATATACACTGTAGGTAAATGATCGCTCAAAAAGAGTGGTCCTATGCTTAGGAGGATTTATAACATTTCTATTTCTGATGTTGACACTATGCAAGTCACCTCTAAAATAAATCTTTCTAGCTAAGTAAGGTTGATAGTGACCAACAATCATGTTATGATAAAGTGTAAGTAGTATCATCATGTTATGATAGCATTTTAATACGAGTCCTCATATTAAGCCATCCAAGATCCTTCAATTTATAAGTTATATGGTCATATGTACAAATGTACCGCATACAAGCATTTCGCACACGCTGCATCCTAGACACGTCAGCAACATCGAGACAAGGACCGAAGAATGGAGCACGATAATTAAAAATGGACAGCACAGTGCTTTCTCATACAATTGTCTTAAGCTTGATGCTGAAAACATTCCTAAAAGGATACAAAACCTTCAGGTTTAGAAAACTCAAACCTATAAGTCTTGAAATATGCTATTATCAATACTAAGACCCAAATTCTTCTCCTGTAGTTATATAGGAATCACATTATTGTCAACACTGATACTCCTCGATACAACAATTGAGTATATGACACATGCATGGTAAAGTAAGCGGAAGTGTAAGTTTTAACATATCCATAGATATACCATCATGACCAACAGAGCTGCCATTCATATTCATCATTATGTTTAGAATTGTATCTTCACTTCGCTGTTACAGCTGTGCTGCCGTTGGAGTGGGTTGTACATAATTGTAACAGGATTTAAAACTACTTTTTGAATTATATTTAATTAGTTGCTAAGGTAGCTATAGTACTGAGACTGCAGCTACTGTCTCAGCAAACTATCAAGAGATCAAAAAATAGACTGCAATGCATATTTGGCAAAACGAACATATTGTTAAGCGAAGCAGCTGTTTCGCCGAGATATGCTATTCAAGTATAGTCCATAACTATACTTGAATGTAAAAGGACATTGGTCAAAAAAAGCAGAGTTCTTAACATGGAACTTATACAATACATAAAATGTCTATGTATGTCATAGAACGATATGACCTGAAAATTCGATAAATGCATTTGCCTCGTTATACCATCACCAGTAAGGCAACCAAGGCGGGATAAGAAAAAACCTAAAAGGTTGCTATATAAATAGTGTAGTTTTTATATTATTATGGTGTTGCAAATCAAGGGATGTGAAAATCTACAAAGCAAAACTGATACAACAAAAAAAAACATAATTACAACTGATACCACATCGATACAAAATTAGATAAGACAATGTTTTAGTCGCAAGCGAGTTTGACTAAACTTACTGCTCAAACAATACGATTCTGCATTACGTCGTTATTCTGCATTAATGTCCCATCGTTATAAAATTAGACAACACACATTGTAACGCTATTGCCGATTCTGTCTAATTAAGCCGAGGTTGCTTGCAGCCGAAAACTCCCGAAATCGTTCATAGTTCTTTTCAATTTCACCTGATATCTTGCAATGAATATTACTAAATCTAAATGTCACGAAATGGCTTTTATTATTTTTGACATATTTGACATACCAAGTTTTGTCTCAAAAACTCTGTTTCCTTCTGATAAGATAACCGGTTCGTGAGGAAGCAGAATTAGATGACGACAACCCTTTGATGCTATATGGATCGTAGATTCCTTGGATGGCTGCAAGGTAATCCCAAAATCTTTGGATAACCTCAAAATGTGTTTCGTCGAAGTTTAATTGGGCACCATCAACCAGCTCCAACCCAATACCAGCCAGAAACAATTCGAATATAACTTCCTGACGCTACTAATACAGAACTGGGATGGCTCACCCTGGCAGCCTCCAACGAAACGCAACCCTGCCTATACCAGAGCCAACAATATTAATCGATGAATCAAACGAAAATTTCATAGCTTTCAATTTAATCCTGCCAACCTCATGAGGATATTCTAGTGTCAACAGCATCATTCTTTATTGGTGCAATAAGGTCACCCAAATAGACAACATATTCACTCCCAAACTCGTCCTTAACAAAATTGAAAAGAAATCGATAGAATCGCACATCTCGTATCTTTTTGGTCTCTATAAGAAATACCGCACAAATCTTCCCCATTTGAGAATCAACGTCTGCATGCTACAAAAGACCGCCTCCTGCACCTGAAGACGAAATAACAATTTCAAAATCAGTAGTATTTAAAACGAAAGATAAAATTAAATTTTATTGAGTCAGTTGTTCTCTATTGTTGGTCTGATGTTCTATTTGAAGACCGCGAGAGTGCAAGACGAATTGATGGTTTATTTTAAAACAATTTACTCAATTATATGAGTTACCCTATTACCATAAATACCAATGAAATTGAAATCATTAATCACCAAGACACAAAAATCTTTCAAACTGAATTCGATGCCAGTCGTTATCGTCGTGCACAAATACTCGATTGTTGAAACATTATTTTCCTCCAAAATTCCTCAGATAAGCCACAATTGAATAAAGTAAGTAGTTTATATTTTTGTATAACCAAGACTCAAAATTATTTGTATCAGTACACACAGAGTAACTCTTTACATGCAAAAATATTAAAATGTAAACTACCAAAAATAATTAGCTACAATATTTTAATGTAAAAATATAAATATATCAATTAGATTGGTTTAATTAACCTTCATGGAGGTTGGATACACTTAAAATCTTGAAATAATGATAAATAATGGTCTAATAGCATTTATTTTTATAGTAATGTCGGATGCGTGTATAAATGTAGTCATCAATTGCAACTATTAATGTTGGCAGATGTTGCCCGCTAAGTTCGAATACGTTCTTACCTGTTTGTTTTAAGTAAGCAATTCCATTTATTGCCTGCAATAACAGTAAAGTCGAAAGGACGCTAGCTGGTGCTGTTAATTGTGCATTACAATTAAATAAGCGGAGGTACGCCACTGCGGTCGGCAGTTATGATTTCCATTTTCATTTCGCCGACGCGATAATCGTAAAACGTGTGCGAACATGCCCGAGCAACCGTCACACCAATAGAAATCAAATTTGTCGTCGCGATATCGTCCGTGTCGCATTAATCGTTTCGAGATTGAAAAGATTTAAAACGTGGCAACGATGTACAATGAATTGTTAATTTTAAAATTTCCTTCGATTTATGGTGCGAATTTACCATATGGCGTATACGGAATGTAATAATTCTGATTGCTGTCACTGGAGATCGTTAGATTAATAAGCTCGAGGCTTCAACATATGTTCGTTTAATCGTAAAATTTCATGCATATATCATCGTATCTTTGACGATAACAAGGTGGGTTCCTTTACGGTTTCATCCTTTGTACGAAATCGAGTTTTGCCCTCTTCTGGTTTGCGTTGCCATATTTTCTGACACCAAGAGAAACGAGCTGCCCACAAAAACCAGCTACATAAATTTTAGTAATCGCGGCGCACGTACGTTAATGGAGTTAAGAGTGGTTGTCCGGTCGGTATTGACGTCAACCGGTGACCACATGTGCGCGATTGTTTCAGATGAAACCCAGCTGTTATCTACAATTACTATTTCGAGGATTTCGCGGACTGACGGCGTCGCGACGCTCGTCTTTATCGGCCCCGATCCTCGCTAAAAATTCCCTCGTTGTGCAAAAAAACCTTCACAACAACACCGAAAATAACAATGTTGTCCCTGCCAAATATATACCGACGATGGAATTTGAGAAACTCCAAACATCTACCCCGAGGAGTAATTTACGGCCGATGGCGCCTTTATTTATATAACGATCAGGTAGAAAAAGTGGAAATCCCAGTTTTGAATAATTTATGGGCAATTTGCGAGGTTGCTACCGGCGGCCGACAAATTTTAATTGGATTTTTTTCTTCGTGCTTTGAGAAACGTGTATTTCAAATCTTGTAATGTTACTCTAGCGTGTCTATAAATCACACCTGCGGAGAACAGAATGCAAATTGTAGAGAAATTGTTTCAACACACTTGAATTAGCCAATTTATCATGTTCGTTGTAAGTACATTGTCATACTATTATGATACTTAACAAGAAAACCCATTATCCTAATCATCTTGTAAAATCTTTGGATTAAAAATAATACGTACAAAATCAAAATAGGTGTTTCTAAATAGGTTGTTTCTGAGGGATGTTTTAGATCTTTGCGGTATACCAAGCAGACAGCTGTCTTTCAAGCAGTTAAGTTAAGGACCGACGTCGCGACGCCACGTATTCTAACGTATTTTTACCGTACGAACGACGTATCGATGCGTCGCGAGCACTCTGAAATTCGAACAGATGTTCCTTTGGTATAAATAAAATGGTACATCGCTGAAAACGTTACCAGTTTAAAAACAAACCTTTACTTATCATCAACTATTAAAAATAAACACTATAAAAAAGCGACTCAATTATCGTGGAGATTGTGACAGGATTAACACGATTATGGCCGGTTTAATATCACCCACGATCTATATGAATAACCAAGCAGCTGTACACGATCGTAATTCTGTCACGGCACATTGGCAGCGTTTCAACAGGAATTGTCCTACGTCTTAGAATAACATAACATATTCGACATATGACTCACATGGACACAAAATCCGATCTCTCATTGCGCCCGCCCGCCGCGATATTTGTCTTACCCACGCTCTTCGAAAGGATCTCCACTCGCCACGAATCTTGGAGATTATTCGTGTAAATATTTTCC